GCATCACAAATATAAATAATATTGCACAGTAAGGACATACACAATCCTAACCCCTATCAGTAATATCATAAACCTTGATTATATTGTACAAGAATTAAAAATGAAAATAGAAACGCTGGTCTTCCACATTGGTACTTTAGCTCTCTAATCTGGTACTTCAGTTCTCTAACCTATCATCAAAAGAATGAATTCTTTGAAAGCGCCAGCAAATCAGAGAGGGCATGTGTCTGGTCTTCTGAACCTAAATTGAGCTATTAAGCACTCTATCTCAATGAGACGATATTCAAAGTCCATCTTTGAACATAAAGATTGGACATGAGATTGGAGTTACTTACTACTACTCTAGGGGAAATTTGTGTGTTAATATCCAAATTCCCAGGTAAGCCTATGTGTCAAGCAGTCACTTAAAAGCCACTTTTGAAAATTACTGTGCACAATGCTTTCCAACTTTGAAATCTTCCTGCTGTTGACATTTTGTCAATGAGGACATTGACCAAAACAAGAAAATACCAAAACTCCAAACCAAACTCACTGCCACTGTATTGATTCTGATTCATAGTAAACCTCCATAGGGTTTCCGAGGCTGTAAATCTTTACAAGAGCAGAAAGCTCAAATTCAAGTGCACAGTCTCAACTGAACAAGCCTAATCAATGTAAAATAATATATGAACATGAACACATCCTAAATGCCTCCTACCCCCATACTAAATATTAAAAGCTCTATTTAGAAGTGTTAATAGCAGAAGATAAGAAATGCTGAATAACGCAAATAGCTTTTCCTCCCACAAATAAATAGCAAAACACATCAGACTACAAAAAGCAGGATGAGAAGGCAAAAGAACAAAAAATAACCTAAATACATAAATAAATAGTTTTGCTTTTCTTTTTACTATTAGGTTATTTATCATTTATCTTCCTTAAAATTCACTCAGAAATCTATTTTATTTGGAAAACACATGAACACTCAAAAAGAATCTTTTTTTTTAAGAAAAACACAATGTCATTTTGTGGTCAATCCTTCCAGCCTCAACAATTCTTTCTGCCATTCCTTGACATATAGAGATTCAGAATCTGACTTTAAAGACTCACTGGGAAGGCAAAGCCATACTGTAGAGGTACAAGCCTGCTAAGAAATGGCACAGTCTCGCTCCTGTCTGCTTCAAGTGCGGCTACTAGAACCAGAAGGCATGACGTGGTGGCTTATCTTTTTATGTTCAGTGATGATATATGATGTTAGGATCAAAATCCACTGTTCCGGACTCCAAGACTCATCATTTTTGTTTCTGTCTCAATACACTGCCACCCTGCAACTTTACTACCTATTTTCATGTTGTTTTCATCCACAAAACCTTATATAACTGTTCAGCTTTTTGAGGAACATGCTACATATATGCTGCTATGCCGAACACTTGTAAGCTACACACTTACATCACTAACAAGATATTTTCATATAGATGTCTCATGAACATAAACTATCTAAAACCCAAATTATTCCAAAAAGTTAGGAAGGCATTGTTTTGGAAGCTAATAATGTTTAAATACAAGACCCAATGTCTTGTATTTTTGAGGTTCAATTCCAAATTTGTGATATAAATTGTGTGAAAAATATAAAGTTCATAAAATAAAAAGTAAATTCCCTTCAAAGAATTAATGTACAGATTAAGTTATTTAACCGCCCTTTACAAGGCAATCAGAAATGATTTCTTGCAATGAAACCATTCTTGTACTTATTCAAACTCAAACTCACTGAAATTTTCTTTTTCCTTAAGCCTTAAAAATTCCTTTACAACCAATAATTCACCTAATTCTAGCATTGATATCTCTACCACATACCCATTTTTTTGTTTTGTTTTGTTTTTCTTTTTTTGTCAGTTGCCTTCCCAAAGCTACACTAATTTGAATGAGTGCTTTATCAACTCCCAGGTCTCTCCTTAACTAGTATACACCATATCCTAATTTAATTCATCTTCCTATAATACACCTAGGTCAAAATCTTCCACGGGTCTATAATCCCACAGAAATATGTCTGGGATTCTGAGCCACAACTGCAGTTCACAGCTATTTCCAAAGTTCATGTAAAGGCTTAGAACGAAGTCTTGTTACCAAACAGGCCCAGCCACCATGGTGTCGGTGTCATGGATGAGCCCTGAACACCCAAGGGGGAACAATTCACTACATTCTCTGCTCCTCTGTTTGCAGAACGAAACACTGCCTGACCCTGGGCCAACCTCACTACTGTTGCCACGTTTGAGTCCATCGATGCTGCCACTTGGCCAATCCATCTCACTGGGGATATTCCTCTTTTACTCTGATATGCAGATGATTCAACCTTGCTAGCTCAAAGTGAAGAGGACTTAAAACATTTACTGATGAAGATCAAAGACCACAGCCTTTGGTATGGATTACATCTCATTGTAAAGAAAACAAAAATCCTCACCACTGGACCAATAAACAACATTCTTATCAACAGAGAAAAGAATTAAGTTGTCAAGGACTTCACTCTTCTTGGATCAACTATCAACACTCACGGAAGCAGCAGTCAAGAAATCAAACGACGTACTGCATTAGGCAAATCTGCTGCACAGGAACTTTTTAAAGTGATGAAGAGCAAAGATGTCAGCTTGACCTAAGCCATGGTATTTTCAATAACCTAATATGCATGTGAAAGCTGGACAGTGAATAAGGAAGACCGTAGAAGAATTGAAGCTTTTGAGTTACGGTGTTGGAGGAGAATATTGAAAAGTGCCTTGGGCTGCCCATAGAACCAACAGATCTGTGTTGGAAGACGTGCAGCCAGAGTGCTCCTTGGAGACCAAGATGGCCAAACTTCGTCTCACATACTTCGGACATATTGTCAAGAGACACCAGTTGCTGGAGAAGGATATCATGTTTAGTAAGGGTCAGAGGAAAAGAGGAAGACCCCCAACAAGATGGATTAGCCAGATGGTGGCATCGATGGACTCAAGCATGGCAACAGTAGTGAGGTTGGCCCAGGATTGGGCAGTGTTTCAGTCTGCTCTGCATAGGGTCTCTATGAGTCAGTGCCAACTCAATGGCACCTAACAACAACAACAACAAGGGGATTAGATAGCTTGTTAATAAGAAGACATGACATCCATGTGGGGTGGGGACATGTAAATAAAATGTATGGAAAGCCAACATGGAAATTCCTAGAAGCAGGCAGGCAGTTCTATCATTAAGAAAGAAGAGCCAGAGCAGAGCATGTCCTCTGACCCTGAGATCCTGCACACTGAGCCACCTCGATCCAGGAGACAGAGCTGTGACTCCAGAGAAATGGCAGCCACAGAGGCAGCACCACTAGAAGGTGTGACAGAGCACTGGGCTGCCTGGCCCAGGAAACGAGAAACTTGAGTACCTTCAGTCAGGAAGCTTGCTGTGGAGTGGGGTATCTCCTCAGTGCGTCAACCAAAGCTTAATAAAGTCAGAGAAGTGTCTATTTGATCTAGCAAGAAGGAAATCACTAGTGAATGTGGTAAGAACAGTTTCAACTAATAGAAAAATAGAAACGAAACTGAAGTGAACTGAAAAGGCTAATGATAAATGAGAGAGTAGAAACAGAAAGGAGACTTCGCAAAAATAGTTAAGTGTAAATCATGATGGTTGTGAGAAAAAAATAAAACCAGTGGTAGATTCAGTAATATCTAGATAATGCAGTTGCAGTAAATCACTGATATTTATCTTGTGATTCCTTCAATGCAAAAATAACCTGAAGTCTTATGTCAAGAGAATTTGTACTTTTAGAAATGTAGTAAAGGAGAAGTTGCCAATTCTAAAATGTCCAGTAATGAAGAAAAAACAACAGAAAAGTGTATACCAGATCCAAAATCCAAACCAAACCTATTGCTGTTTAATCAATTCTGACTCAGAGCAACCCGAAAGGACAAAGTAGAACTACTCCATAGGATTTCCAAGGCTATAAAATCTTTCCAGAAGCAGACTCCTACATCTTTCTCATGCAGAGCAGTTGATGGATTTGAACCACTGAATTTGTGAGAAGCAGTTGAGCACTTTAACCACTTCACCATCAGGGCTCCTTTATAATATGTTGTTGTGTGCCATCAAGTAGGTTCCAATTCAGTGACCTTGTATAGGGTCTTCAACTATGGCTGGTGGACTTGAACTGACAGTCTCACAGTTAGCAGTCCAGAGCTTATCCTACAACACCACACCATGGCTCTTTTTAATATATAGCAGAGTGATAAATCAAACCCACTGCCACTGAGTTGATTTTGACTCATAGCAACTAGAGCCACTATGGCAGACTAGAGCCACTCCATAGGGTTTCAGAGGCTGTAAATCTTTACGGAAGCAAACTGCCTCATCTGTCACCCACAGAGCAGCTGGTGAATTGGAACCACGAAGGCTCCATATAAAAGATATCAAAAAAGCCCAAGTCCACTGGCATCAAGTCAATTCTGACTTACAGCTACCACATATAGCAATTCTAAGAGTGTCAATTTTTACAGAAGCAGTCAGCCCCATCTTTCTCCCAAGGAGTCGTTGATGGGTTTGAACTAACAGGCCACCTTGCAGTTAGTAATCCAACACCTAACACACCGTGCCAACAGGAAGAGACAAATAAAAAAGAAGAAATATAAATAACTAAGAAGTTGGCATAACTCCCAAATTTTTAAAGCCTTTCCTTAAAAGTCAAGAATACAGAATAATTTTAAATTAATATGTTTCTTGAGCTATGCAAAGAAAATCAAACATATAAATTTCTAAATTATCCAGTGATAATGTCATCATGATTATATAACGCTTTCCCCCACATTTGAGTATAGAGGTTAGAGGTCATCTTTATTTAACATTGTATCATATGATTACAAGAAGTACTTCCTTTCAAATCTCAGTGTACACATTTCAATGGGAGATAAAATCATGTCATCTTTCAACTCAGCATATTCAGAAGTGTGTAATACTTAAATGATAATGGGCATCACGCAACCACCAAGACCAAGATAATAAGAAGTGCCTACCTTCCCTGATAGCTGTGAAAGGTGTGCCTTCTTCTTCCTGCAGTCTGATGACCTTCAGGGCCACCAATTTCCCATTGACCCTGGGAGAAATGAAAGAAAAAAAAATCAGTGAATTTGTCAAAAAATGTAGGATGAACACTGGACTGCTAACTGCAAGGTCAGCTGCTCAAACCCACCAGCTGCTGCTAAGAACTGACTCCAGGGCATTTAACAACAACATTATGGTTTTAATTATCTTCTTTACAATTTCTATTTTATGAACTTTTACACTGAAAATGTCAGAAACTCAATTATGTCACCACAAGATACATTTCAGTAAGGCGCACTATGTAATCTTCGTAAGTATTCACATTTTATATATTCATATTTAAAATATTCACATCTGAAGAATCCAAGATTTAGCTGAAGTTTTCTATGATTCACTCTGTTTCTCCCAGAATGAAACTAGAGCTTTTAACAACTCATCAAATCTAATTATTCTCTGATTAATTAAAACTTAAGCAATCATAATAACTCATCCATTGTTTCCCCAATAGTTCCTTCTTTGTTTCTTCTGCTGAAATGTCTTTGTGTTCTGGTCTTTACTTGCGCACATTCCATCCCCAAGGACTTGATCCTCAGTCTTGCCTCACTTTATCTTAAGAAGACCCATTCCCCTGTTATCGTATTTCTTGTGGTGATGGAGGTGGTGTGCCACTGAGTTGGTCCCAACTCATAACAGCCCTGTATAGGATTTACAACGGTGAAAACCTTTATGAGAACAGAATAAGATTGTAATCATTGCAATGAAACGATGGTGTAAAGCTGATGTTCTACCATGTAAACTATCACTCAGTTCACAATAAAAACTTGAATATAAAAAAAGGAATAAACACACATTATGACATTTAATTAAAAAAAAAAAAAAACATTATGGGAACAGAATGCCTCATCTTTCTCATGCAAAATAACTGGTAGGATGGTAGGATGGAACTGCTGACCTTTCGGTAAGCAGCCCAACGCAGAATCCAAGTTTGTAAATCTTTATGGGAGCATAAATCTTCATTGTTCTCCCGCGGAGTGACTGGTAGATGCGAACTGCTGACCTTGTGGTTAACAGCTCAGTTTATAATCTACTAAACTACCAGGACTCCTTAGATTTCTTCTAGTTGGGCTTTATATCATCAAAATTCAAGTTATGGATAGTTTTACTATTATAAAATTACATAAGACCTATATAAAGCAATTGGTTTTTCCAGATACACACTAAATGTGTATCAACTCTAAGTAAATGCAAGATTATGCTACTGATAGAGCTGTTTATTCAAAGGCACTTCTATCCACAGTGAAAGCCATGACTAAACTGGGCTGCTCTCTAAGTGCTTTAGTTTCTACCTCTGCTAGGCCTGATGATGGTGGTGGTTGTGTGCTGTGGAGTCCGTTTCGATCATGGCGACCTTGTATAGGGCTTCCAAGGATGTATAAATCTTTCTCCCACAGAGCAACTGGTAGATTCAAACTGCTGACCTTATAGTTAGCAGTTCAATGTGCAATCCACTACGCCACCAGGGCACCTTTTGCTAGGCCTAGCAACACAATTTATTTGATTGGTTTAATTAAAATAGACTAAACAAGCACATATTAAAAATGTAAAAGGTACAACAAACATTTGATGCAAATGTTTGTTTTGGTGATGGTGTGCCACTGTGTTGGTTCCAACTCATAACAACCCTGTATTTCCAAGGGTGTCAATCTTTATGGGAACACACTCTTCCAACCACCCAGCTCCCTTTTTAGGAGGTTACCACTAATTTCCAAACCCAATGCCAGCAAGTCAATTCCCACCCACAGTAGTCCTGTATAGGTTTCTGACGCTATAAATCTTTACACGAGCAGAAAGCCTCATCTTTCTCTTGCAGAGTGGCAAGTTGATTTGAATTGCCGACCTCATGGTTATCCTATAGTGCCACCAAGGCTACTTATATATACTTTTAGGCAAAACAACAACAACAACAACAACTGTTTTTAACAAATACGTTACTATATCATGCAGCTGTTAAGTTGTTAGATGCCATAAAGATAGTTCTGACCCATAGATACCCTCTGCACAGCAGCAGCATGAAGCACTGCTGGGCTCTGCACCATCTTCACAGTTACTATGTCTGAGCTCATTGTGGCTGCCACGGTGTCAATCCATCTTGTTGGGGTTGTATTCCTCAACTTCACCGACCTTTCCAAGCATGATGTCCTTCTCCAAGGACTGGTCCCTCCTGATAACATGCCCAAAGTACTTAAGACGAAGCCTCCCCATCCAGCAGAGTACAGTGTACATTGCTTTTGCCACTTAAGAATATATTTTGGTGAGTTACTAATAAATTCATATAAAACTGCCTTTTGTTTTTGAGAAGCCAAATAATATCTCTTTGTGTGGGGGTAGAATACTTAATTTAATCCCTGACCCCTACTGATGTACATTTAGCTTGTCCCCATATTTTTTTTTTTTACTTCTATAAACAATGCTGCATGTCATTTCATCCATTTGAAAATATGTCTGTAAAATAATATCCCCAAGAGGAACCACAAGGTCAAAAGGAATGTGCATTTCTGATTTTGATGAATTCTGTCAAATTGTTTTACACAAAGACTGCACCAGTTCACACTTGGAATTGCGGAGTGTGAGGGTGCCTGTTCACCCCAACCCTAACAGATACTACATGTTATCAACATTTGCTTCTGCTGATTTGATAGATAGAAAACACTTTCTTATTGTAACTTAATTGCTGCAGAAAGGCCTTCAGAGGTTAAGGCACCAGCAAAGGAGAACTCACATGGCCCATAAAACCCAGTGCTTGGATCTGAAATAAATAACCTTAGTGTTTCTTCTAAAAAATATGTCTAATTGGACTATTTTGCCCCCAAAATTGCCACAGCCACAAAATTTAAAAGGCCAAGTAATTTATCACCGCCCCACTGTCTTAGGAGCTTTCCTCATTGAACTGAATGTTGAAATGCATTATTGGTCGCAGCAACTGGATAAGGGCATTTGATTATATGGCTCTACAATGTGCCAGCCACTTCAAAAGTAGATGTTGTGTTTTTATATTTGCTTTTGTTTCAGCTGGGAGGACAAACCGGCTGCTTTTTAGCTCTCTAACTCTCCTCTCCTGAGTTTATTACCTTAATTTTTCTAATCCTGATTGTGCACTAGGTACCCAGGTGCAGGGAAAATATTAATATGCACATGGGATTCAGCTGGAGAACATACCTTGTGCTCTTTACTTGCCCTTTAGGACTAAGGGACGCCTTTGGTGGGGCTCGAGCCTGGGACACAGTCAGAGTCAAAGCTGACATCTGCACCGATTTTTCTCAGCCCAGTTGAGCTCATCATTGGCTCCCTGAGGAGGCAGAAACAGATTCCAAGAACTGCTTGGAATTTTCCCCTCATTTACAGATATTTTCCCCTCACCCACAAAACACATACATAAGCCTCTTCCCACAAAGCTTTTCCATTTCCCTTGTGATTGTTAACTTCTATGTACCCTGAGCTGAATTATGGAATGCAGCGACCTAGTGTTTCTGAAAGTTATATACTTAAGACATGCTCTCAGACCACGAAACTATAATTTCCCTGTGATACCCTAGAAGCAGACAAACCGATAATTTCACTCTTTAAACAATTAAAGATGAAATTCCTAGAAATTATCTTGTAGATGATCTAATTTACATTACTTTAATGCTGAAAAAAAAAACATTTTCAACAAGCATTTTATATGATAGCTGCATATAAGAATGTGATCCAGTTTCATGGAATTGTGATTCTGAGCCATAATTTTCATGAACTCAGTCTCCAAATGTTAGTTTCCTATATTTATCATAATTACAACAATTAGTGGCAAGCAGATTTTAAGTTAACAGGTTCAAATAAAACTAAAAATTGACTTTAGAATTATTCTAGAAGATAAGGTCCAGGAAGAAAGGGGAATTTTTTTTTTTTTTTTTTTCTGTTTTATTCACTAATGTCTGTCTAATGCCTAGAGTGAGCTCAGCTCTCAACATATTCATTCAATAGTGATACTGTTAAGATATGGACATTTCCCGCCTCATGTCTCTAAAGAAAGTCATGAATGAAATACATAAATTATTGTTCAAAAAAAAATCCCTTAAATTCAAAAATTATAAACCTTTCACTATTTTCTTTTATGTTTGGTTTAAACAATTCTTTTTCTTTTCAAATTAAAGGTGGAGTCTCTTTTGTTTTGAGGCATGCAGAGTTTCCATGTCTTTCCAATTGTACGATTTATAGAATGCTTTGTTAATTAACCTTTTTGCACCCCGTAGACATGTTTTAAAACACTCACAGTCCTTTAATAATCTGAGCACAGACCACTAATCAGCAGCTCCTTCTTCTCCAATTGCTTCATTGGTTTTCCATTAAGAATCATATTGATTATCAAATTGCTCTTTTAACCTAATAGTCACTGTGACTTTCTTCTTCCTTAGTTTGTTTTTCTCTGCATGTCTAGACACTCTCCAATCCCTCGGTTTTTAGAGCATACTAAAAAAGTTAAATGTCCGGTTTCACCTTTGGAAAAAATAACATTACAACATTTTCCATGTATCAATATGGACTGAATTAGTTGAAATATTGAAGTTACTAACTTCTTAATGAAACTTCAGTTTTTGAGGGCTTAACACAGGATACTTAATATTCTATGGGACGTCTGGTATGGCATTGTAAGATCAGCACTGGACTGTGAACCAAAAGATCGGCGGTTCAAACCCAACAGCACTTGGAAACTCTATACAGGGTTGCTATGAATCAGAACCAACCTGACGGACCTTTAACAGCAACAACAACAACAATACTCTAAGAAAAACAAAGTGAAGATTGTGTCTTTCTACTTAGCTTGTAGAACTTAAGCCATTTTAGCAAAGGTTCAAAATATATAATTAAAACACTAATTTATATACTTAAAATAATTACAAAATTCATATTGAATCAATAAATTACAGCTGTTTACAGGAAAACACTGACAATTCCTTGTTAATGAGTCTTATTAATTATATCAAAGGCTAATGAATAGGAGGCAATCAAGGCTTG